ACCCCCCCCCCCCCCTCGCCGTTAACGCTTCCCCTCAGCCCTTCCCGTGCTGCTTCACCTCCACCACCATCACCGGCACCATTCCTGCGCTGGTGGACGGAGGCCGACCTCTGCCGAGCTCGTTATCCCGGGTTAAACGAGCATCCGGCGACAGGCAACCCCGTAATCTCCACCGGGAGCTTTTAATCTCCCTCCTCCGGCGGCCGGAGCGGGGTTGGAGGTGGCAGGGGGCTGCAGAGGCGTCGTGGTGTTTCCCCCCGTGCTGGGGATGGGCAGTGCCGGTGGGTCCGGGGGTGAGTTTTGATGCGGTGCCGCGGTCCCGGGAACATTTCCTCTTCCCAAGCAGCTTGATGGTGGGGAGCGGGTCGGAGCCGCCATCACCGGGAGCAGCTTTCGGCTCGTCCCGGCACAGCTCGACGCTGCTCGGAGCAGCTTTCGGCTCATCCCGGTGCAGTTTGACGCCGGATTTTCCTCCCCGACGCATCGTTTGGAGGAGGACATCGTTTGGAGGAGGAGGGGGTGCAGGGATCGGCTCAACGCTGTGAAATCCCCCTCCGGCAGCACTGATGCCCCACAGCCAAATTCCCCAAGGATTTTGGCTCATCCCGGCACAGTTTGACGCTGGATTTTCCTCTCCGATGCATCGTTTGGAGGAGGAAGGGGTGCAGGGGGTCGGCTCAACTCCACAACGTGAAATCCCCCTCCGGCAGCACCAACGCACCGCAGCCAAATTCCCTGAGGATCCCAGCGCCGCCAAGGTCCCGGATCCCAATAAAACCCTTTGGCGTGGGATTTGCCGGCTTGTAGCCACAACTGTTGGGAGCAGGAAAGGAAAAGCTCCCCAGGTGATGCTCCTTTGCTAATTCAGGTCCCAGGATGGAGGAAAAAAGCCACTTTTTTGTTAAACGAGCTCGTTAAATGCCGGGGAAGAACCTCACCTGTTGCTTGAGGTTTCCCCATGGCAGGAAATCATTTGGGATCCCGGCTCCAGCCCTGAGACCCTCCCGGATCCTCCCCAAATTCCTCTTGCCTCAAAATCTGAAGCGTTTGCTCCTCGTCTGGGTGTTTTTTGTGGGCACGATGTGTTCTGTGCGTAAGCGGCCTTGGTGTGAGCACGCTTGGTTGTGGCCTGGGACAGAGGGGGAAGGAGCAGCAGTGCAGCTCCACTCTGCCCCACGAGGAAGAAAAAATAAAACCAAAACACGTGGGGAAAAAAAACCCCACGTAGCTGGAATCTGCCTGGTTTAAATGCGCTGGGAGCGTGCTGGACCCTGCAAGCTCGGCCGTGACCTGGCATGGAGGAGAAAAAAGTGGTGCCGACTCCTACATGGTGGCTCAGCTCTGCCAGCAAGGAAAAAAAAATCCCAACATGTGGGGGAGGAAAAAAAAACACGCGGCTGGAGTCTGCCTGGTTCAAGCACACCAGGAGCGCGCGGGACCTTGTGTGCTTGGCTGAGACCTGGCACAGAGAGGGAGAGATTGATGCTGTCCTCCTACATAGCGTCTCTGTGCTGCCAGCAAGGGGAAAAAAAAAACCAACATGTGGGGGGAAAATAGAAACATGCAGCTGGAGCCTTCTTGGTTCAAGGGCACTTGGGAGTGCGTTGGACCCTGCGAGCTTGGCCGTGGCATGGAGGGGGGAAAACACAGCACCGTGCTTCTGCGTTGGGGCTCTGCTCTGCCGTGTGAGGGGAGGGGGGAAAAAAAAAAATTTTAAATGACATGAAGGGCAATAAAAGGTGTGGCTGGAACCTGCCCGGCTCAAGTGCACCTGGAGCGAGCAGGATCCTGTGAGCTTGGACGTGACCTGGTGTGGAGGAGGAAAAACCAGCGCTGACTTCATGCGCTGTGTCTCCGCTGCGCTCCGTGTCTCTCCCGGGGAGTGAAAAATAAAAACCACACAGGGAAAAAAACATGGATGGAGCCTTCTCAACTCATGCGTGCCTGGAGTGTGCTGGACCCTATGAATCACCACGGAGGGAGGAAAACGAGTGCTGTCCTCTTGCATGGTGGCTCTGCTCTGCCACATGTTTCTCCCAGGGGTGAAAAAAAAACACCCCACCACGGGAAGGGTGGAAAAAACACGTGGCCATAACCTGCCTGACTTGAGCACGCCTGGAGCGTGCTGGGCCCTGCAAGCTTGGCTGTGACCCGGCATGGAAGGGGAAAAAAAACCAGCGCTGTTTCACACCACGGCTCCGCTCTGCCCCAGAGATGATCAAAAATGATGCAGTGGGGAAAAAAACTTGTGGTTGTATCCTGCCCTGCCCAGCTCAAGCGTGCCGTGAGCGTGCCGGACCCTGCACGGTCCAGTATGGAGGAGGAAAAAACCCAGTGCTGGTTTGTGTTGTGGCTCGGCTCTTCCAGCAAGGGAAACAAAATGAAAAAATCCTCAACCTACAGGGGAAAAACCCGAGGCCGAAGCCTTCCTGCCTCAAGCGCGTCTGGAGGGTGCTGAACCCCGCACGCGTTGCTGTGACCCAGAATGGAGTGGGGACCGTGGGTCTGCTCTGCCCCAGGTTTCTCCCAGGGATGATGATAAACCGATGTCGGGGCAAAAAAAACCCCAAACCCTGTGGTTGCAGCATGCCCTGCCTAGCTCAAGCGTGCCGTGAGCGTGCCGGACCCGTCGCGCTCGGTCATGATCCAGTATGAAGGGGGGAAAAAAAAACCCAGCGCCATCCTCCTGTGTTGTGATTCTGCTCTGCCAGTGAGGGAAAATAAAAAAAAACCCACACAGGGCGAAAATCCACAAGTGTAGCCTGCCCAGCTGAAAGTGTGCCGTGAGCGTGCCAGACCCCGCACGCTTGGTAATGACCCAGTATGGAGAGGCAAAAAAAACCCCAACCCAAACCCTAGTGCTGGTTTGCGTTGTGGCTCTGCTCTTCCAGCAAGGGAAACAAACCGAAAAAAAAAAACCCAACCCAACAACCCAACCCGCAGGGAAAAAACACGAAGCCGAAGCCTTCCTGCCTCAAGCTCGCAGCAAGCTCGCAGGGGAACCCACTGCCCGGAGCCGTTTGGCCTGGGGAAAGGCCCCTTCCTCTTGACTTCCAGGGAAGGCGGCGATTGTCCCCACTTAACCGGTTTAGCATTTAAATTGTCCCGATTCTGCTCCGCCTTTGCATGGCTCTGGGGCGATGGGCTGGGGGAAGGGTTTCCGCAGTCCTGCTCCCACCCTTGGAGCGAGCAGGGAAGCGAGCAGGAGAGCGAGCGGAGCTTGGAAGAGGCTTTTTTCAACTTTACGGTGAGCGTTTGGGTCGTCTTAGGGTAGCAGCGTGGAGCGAGCGAGTGGAAGGGGAAAAAAAAAAAAAATATTTTTTTTTTTTTTTTTCCCCCCCATGCCCTGGTGAGCTCGAAAACACCCAAGCGGGTTTTTGGGGAGGATGGTGGGTTTTTAGGGAGCGCTGCTGGCACGGCGACTGTGTTTTGGGAAGAATAAAAGGGAAAACTTGGGGAAAACGTGGGGTTTTCGGGGAGGAGGTTGGAGGACGCGGCGCTGGTGTCTCTGTGTGTGTGTCCCAGTCTGCGGTGCGCCGTTGGGTTGGGGGTTTTGGTGCCGGTGGGTGATGCCAAGTGCGGTCCCTGAGGGATGCCGGATTCTCTCCTGGACCCAGCTCGGATCCCGCTCAGAAAACCACAACTTTTAGAAATAAACCCATTTTAGGGTAGGTTGGGGGGGGGTGGTGTGGTGTTTGTTTTTTGGTTTTTTTTTTTTTTGTTTTTTTCCCCTCATTCTTACCTAGATGGATCTGCCCGGCTTGGGGTCTCCATCCCGGCTGGGATGTGGCTGCAATGAAAAAGGAAAAACTCCACGATGGCTTTTCCCTCCCCCCACCCCCCTCTGCATCCCAGGGTCCCCTGCCTGTCCCCTGCCTGTCCCCTGCCTGTCCCCAGCCACCTTTGCTGGCACATTCCCAGTGCCGTGCGGTGCCTTTTTATTTCCTTGCAGCCAGGCAGCACATTTTGGGGTGATTCCTCGTCGTTTGACGCAACGCCGGGAAAAATGCCGGTGCCGTGGCAGCTGCCCCGCTCCCATCCTGCCGGCACAACCCATGAGGAGGTTTCTCCAACGTTTCTTGCCCGCGCAATTTGGGAAAAACCAAGTTCCGGGTGCCTGCAACCGGATTGAAACCGGATGGTGGTTAAAGGTGATGCCACGATCTGGTGCTTCCGCTCCGTTAAACCGGTGCAGGTGGCTTCATCCCGGCCCAACATCCCTCATCCCGGCCCGCCGGCACCAAGCTGACACCGTGGCAAACCCCTAAAACCCACAAATTTGGGGTTTGCGCTTCGAGGCGGGAGCATCCCGCCGGCGCGGGCATCGGGCGCCATTTCAGGGCGACGCCGGCGGAACATCCATCCGAACCGGAGCCCACCGGAGCTACCGATCCTCGGGGGAAAAAAAAAAAGTCACCAGCATACAGAGCCAACATATTTCTAATTTATTTAACTAAATTTCCATTTTCGCTTCTTATCGGCAAACTAATCCACGCTGACTCCGGGCACCGTTCCCTGGGGAAGCGCTGGGCCCTGGCTGCTATGGGGTGGGTGAGATTTCGGGGTGGCATTTTGGGGCGTTGGGGTTTGCTCCATCTCTCTCCTCCCTCAGCCCCGGGGTGGGGAAAAACATCTTGCGCCAGCTTGAATAATTCTCTCTTCATTTGCATTCTTACCTTGAAGGTATTTATAGTCTCTTCTCTGCCTTCTCCTTCCTCACCGGGGTAAATTTAGCTCCTTAGCTCTCCTCCTGTGCCTTTATCCTCCGGCAGAGCTGATAAACGCGGCTTTTTAGTGCCTCTTTCCTCCTATTTTTCCCTTCTCCACCCTCCCGGGTCAGCGTTTGACCCAGCATCTCCACCCTGCAGAGATCAGGATCTTTTTTATTTCTCCCAATGATTTGATTTTATACCATTTAACTTGCAGCTGCAGCAGCGTCGGATGGTGGAAGGTGTTTTGGGGTGATGGTTTGGTTTTGGGGGGGGGGTGGTCCACACTTGAGTGGCCGCTGCCTGGGTGCCCCCCCAAGGGTCCCCAAACCCTTTGAGGGTTCCCCCAGTGTGAAGGTACCGCTTTGTCACATCCGTTTGGATTCATACGGGGGAAGGATGCGGTGCAGCATCCCGAAATCTACCCCCACGCCCCGGTTTTGGGGGTAGCCACCCCGATTTTGGGGCAGTTGGTGACAGAGCAGAGCTCCCGGAGGTGCGAACTGTCACCTTTCCCTGCGCTGTGTCGTGGGGATTGAATTTTTTTGTGAGGTAAATTATTAATTTGAGGGCGATCGGGGTTTTTTGGGGGAGTGTGTGGCAGAGGATGGAGGAGATGCCGTTGCCCTGGTAAATCGCGGCGCAGAGTGTGTGGGGGGGAAAGCTTCGTATTGGGCAGAAGCGGCACCTTTTGGGGTCCCTCGACTCTTGACAGGGATCTGGCACCACGTCAGCTACTGGCGGCACCAATTTTTGCAAGGGGAGAGTGATGGGACCCGATGTCTTGCCCGGCGGCGGGACACTGAGAGCTTTGGTGACCACGTTGAATCACTGAGACCGTTGGGTTTCCGGGCGCGGGCAGAGCCACAACCGTTTCTCTTCCACCTCAGCAAAATCCAGCTGCTTTTCTCATTTTCTCCTCTTTTGTCTTTTATTTCTTGTAGATTTTTCCGGCAGTCCCTGGCCGCCAACCCTCCCGAGTGCCGGCGCGGTGTTTTTTATCGAGTGACACAGCACAATCGGCGAGGGATGGAGAAAGCTGTCCCTAATTTCTCAGAGCGTCAAGGAGATGGAGGCAGAGCCCTGTTAATGACACCGGAGCCAAACAAAGAGACTTTTCCTGCCCTTGAGTGCCCACAAGGTGAAGACCGAAGAGCCGCTTTCCTTCAAGATGCTAAAAAGCCCCTGGAGAACCCGGCTTTATCTGGGACGTCGGTGGAAACGGAGACAGAGCTCGAGGAAGATGCTTTCTATGCCGCGGATGATCTGGAAACGATGAACAGGGAGGGGAAGGGACCTTCTGGCGCTGAGCTGCGCCCGTTGCAAGAGGAGCCCGACTTCTTCTCATCGCTCTCCCGTCAAGAGCCCGACGTTGCCCTGGAAGCGCACGACGTGGCCGGTAAGTCCCCGGTCGGCGCCGTTGGGGTGGTTTCTTGGGGGACGGGGACATCTCCCGGCGCTTCGTGCGTGGCTGGTGACGCTTGGGTTGATTCGGTTGGTTTGCCAGGTGGTTTGCAGCGAGTGTTTCCTTTCTTGGCGTTGGAGATGTTCCCCAACTCTCAGCATCTCGTGGTGAAACGGGAACCGCGGTGCGGTGAGGAACACGTGGATTTGGTGGAAGGAGAAACCAGGGTGCAAAAGGCCGGGCCGGCATCGCTGTGCTGTTGCTTCAGCACCACAGACAGGCACAAAATCCGGTGGTGGATCAAGCCGGGGGCTTTTTGGAGACCCTCATCCCCCGTGGCGCAGCATTGCTGTGCCACGAGGGATGAGGGTCTCCCAAAAGACATGGGGACACTTTGCCGGTGGTCGCGCTCCGCCGTGCCGTGGGGAAGCAGGTGGGGGCTGCGCCGTGGTAGTGGTGACTCGTGTGTTTTTGGTGTTGCTGCCGAAGCCGAGCGGAGCGGAACCGCGCCACCCGCGCCTGGCCTCGCTCAGTTCCCCTCTTCTCAAAACGGAAACGCTCCTCCAGCTCCGCCGAGGGCGGCTGCGTTCCGCGGGGCGAAGGCGGCGTCCTCTGCCCCACCACTCGGTGCTCTGTGGGTGATGGGGGGTGAGTGGCTCCAGCAAGGACTGGTTGGCCCCCAGTGCCTGCATGGAGCTGTACTGGGATGACCTTGGTGTGGTGAAAACTCTGTGTGCACTGGGTGCTCTCGCGCGGGATGTCCCGTTATGGGGTGGGGGATCTCTGTCACCCATGGGAGACCCCCATGGGGTCTGTCCTTGGGATAAACTCTCCTCAACAGACTCTCGGATGAGCAGGGAGGTTTTCATAGAATAGTTTGGGTTGGAAGGGACCTTCAAAGATCATCCAGTCCAACCCCTTGCTGTGGGCAGGGATGTCTTCCACTAGATGACGTTGCTCAAAGCCCTGTCCGGCTTGATCTTGAACACTTCCAGCGATGGACCATCCACAACTTCTCTGGGCAACCTGGTCCAGGGTCTCACCATCTTCATCTTAAAATATTTTTTTCTTAGGCCTGATCTAAATCTACCCTCTTCTAGTTTAAAACTAATTTCCCTTGTCCTGCAGCTCTTGGTAAAAAGCCTTTTTCCATCTTATAAGCTCTGTTCATATATGGAAAGGCCACAGGAAGGTCTCCCTGGAGCCTTCACTTCTCAAGGCTGGTCAAGCCCAACTCTTGTCAGCCTTTCTTCAATGGAGAGGTGCTCCAGCTCTTGGATCATCTTTGTAGCCTCTTCTGGACCTGTTCCACCAGGTCGTTTTCCATGGGACTCTTCTCAATTCCCCAGTTTGTGATACTGGGGCTACCAGACCCAGGTACAAGACCTCACATTTGGCCTCGTTGAACTTCACAAGGTTCACGTTGGCCCATTCCAAGAAGTCACCTTGGCCTGTCAAGGTCCTTCTGGTTGCTGTCCCTTCCCTCAAGGTATCAACTCACTTTGGTGTCACCCACAAACTTGCTGAGCATGCACTTGATCCCACTGTCCACCTTGTTGATGGACATATTAAATAGTGTTGATCCCAGTGTGGACCCCGAGGGACTCTGCTTGTTACTTGTTTCCACTTGGACCTTGAGAAGTTGACTGGAACTCTTCAAACGCAGCTGTTTGGCCAACTCTTTATCTATTGTTTGTGGCTGCTGCAAGTTGTCCACTCCTCTGTAGACAGATCTTTGGTTGTCTGGTGTCTGTTCTCGGCCTGTGTTGGAGGATTTAACCCTGTCCCACCTCAACTTCTCCATCATTTCGATGCCTCCTCCATCCCAAGTCTGACCTGAACCCTTCCAGGCGTTTTCAACCCCCCTGTCCTTCCCCATCCCTGTGTCCTTGCTGGAAAACAAGGTGAGTGGTGGCCACGAATCCCACCACTGGTTGGTGATTTGCCTCGTTACTTGTCCCGTGACTGGAGGGTGGTTTGTTGGTTGTTTGTTTTTTTTTTTCCCCATCTGGAAGCGACAACAACAGTGGAGTCGCCAGCTGCGATTCCTCTTCAGCGCTGCTTCCCCGGAACGAGTTTGCCCATCTCTGCAAACACCAGTTGACTTAAAACCTTATCTCGTGGTGCAGGCAACCTGCTTGGTGGGTCCTGCTGTTATTTACCCACCACGAGGCGGGTGGGAAAAGGACCGTGTTGCATCTGGGAAGTTTTTCGGCTCTCGGTTCCTTCACTGTGGTCAATGGGTAGAGAATTAATGTCAGGGGATGGAAGTGGGTGTTTTTTTGGGCACCCAAAAAAAAGCAAGAGATGTGTTGGGAGATGGAGAACGTCACCCTCTGGAGAGGTGGTGGGGCTCAGTTGGGGTCTTGGGGTGCTTTGGGCGGACCCAGCTCTGCTCAAGGACAGACTTAAGAGGATGCGGTCGGTGGGGCTGATCAAGCCCTCATCGCTTCATTTGAGCTCAGAAAAACAAAGCAAAATGCCCCAAAACGGAGGCTAAGGCTGATCTAAGGGTCTTGTGGGATGGGAAGACCCCCACACAAACACTTGTGGTGCCACCGACTTCACGATTTTGGGGCTCTTCTGATGCCTCCAACAGCCTCATCGTGGCGGAATTATCCCAGCATCTGCCCGAGCGCCACCGACCGTGAGCCGGAGGCGGCTTCGGCACCCGCCGGTTGGTTTTTCAGCGCCAGGCAAAGTCCATGCCGCTGCCAGGAGGTCAAGAAGGAGAAACATCCCCCCAGCCAGGGTGGGTTTTTTATTTTGGGGCGCTGCTGGTGCCGAGCAGCGCTGCTTGCATGCCAGAGGGACGGTGCGACCCGTGAAGGATGGCGGCCGGGCCGGGGAGGAGATGGAGGAAGGAAACCCACGTGGCTGCTCACCACGGTGCCGGCAACCGCGGTAAGTGAGCGGTGGCCGGGCTCAGCAGCGCGTGGGCTCGGCAGCAGAGGAGCGAGTGTCGTGGCGGCTCGGGCAGCTGTTCCGTTCTGCCCGACTGAGCTTTGAGCTCCGGAGGAGGAAGGAGCCGCTGCCGGGGATTTCCCAGCCCCGGTCGTGGTACCTGGACCATCGGTTTCAACCGTGAGTGCTGGGGGCTGGGTGCCACATCCTACGGGGGACCCTTCTCGTGGCCTTTTGGTGGCTTCATCTCCCCTCCTTGCTCTTGGGGGGGGTGTGTGTGTGTGTATGTTTCAGGCTGCTCACCGGGATTTTTTTCGGGATGCTGCGCCTCACAGGGACTCTTTTAGAAGCAGTTTGGGTAATTCATTGTTGTGGACGGCACCAGTGGGGCCAGAGATTCTACAACCTTCACCCCCCTCCTGTTTTGTGGCTCGTTCCTGTCCCCTCCCCAGGGTGAAGGGACGGGGGGGGTGGGTGTCCCTTCCCCGTGGGACCCAGCGAGGCAGGATCCAAATGGCCGAGCCTTTTATCTCCAGCCTCCTGGTTTCCCAAATCGCCGGCACCCTTATCAGCCCGCACCAGGGGGGAGTTTCTCCACCCTGTATCGGCGCAGGGATCGGTGGGGCGGTTGGAGCCGTGCTCGGTTGCAGCCCGTGAACAGTTTTTTTTGCTCAGTTCTTCCCCCCTGACCACACTCCCAGTGTCGTGTTGGCTTGGGGTTGGTCCCCTTGGTTCCCCCCCTCACCCTGCCCCGGCTACCCGGCTGCATGTCCCCGCCAGCGAT